TTGACCAGGATGGTCTCGATCTCTTGACCTCGTGATCCACCCGCCTCGGCCTCCCAAAGTGCTGGGATTACAGGCTTGAGCCACCGCGCCCGGCCAAAATTTTATCTTTTATAGTTGGTTTGTTTAAATTAGGGCCCCCCAAAATGTGCACACATTTCAGGCTTCATTCAGTAAGTGCTAAGGACCTACTATAAGCCTGGCACTTTGCTAGATGCTGGAGGCAACAAGACAAGCCTCTGCCCTCACATTCCTCAGAAGACGTAGGGAAGACAGTGTAATTAGAGAATCATAGAAATAAACGTGAAATTGCAACCACTATGAGAACAAGCATATTGCGCTATGAGAAATGCCATGAGTGGACACTCAGGGAGACTTGATTAGTCAAATGTGGGGGAAGAGCGTTCCACACAGAGTCGTGGCATTAGCCACGATCCTGCAGCAGGAGGGGTCAGAGAGAATCCAAGTCGCAGAAAAACAGCATTTCTGGAATGCAGCAAGTGAAAAGGACGACGGCACTTGATCAAGCTTAGGACATCAGCAGGGTCTGATCATGTCTGGTCTTATGGTCACTGGAAGGACTTTAGACTTTATTCATCCCAAAGACAATGAAAAGTCCTGGGATGGTTTTGAGAAAGGGGCCATAGGGTCAGATCTACATTGTAAAATTCTCCCTTGCTGGGGTAACTGGAGAGGAAGAGGAGTTAGGAGACTAGATGACAGTGGAGTGAGAGGAAGACACCCGGGGAGACTGAGAACACACACTCTAGATCTAGATGCTTACATTTTTATCCTTATTCTGTCATTTTGTGCTGTGTGCCTTTGGGCAAGTCATTTAACCTCTCTGTGCTTCTGTTTCATCATGTGTTAGACAACACTACCTCAGAAGGTTGTGAGGATGCAATGGAAAGTATATTATTCTTTTTGCTTTCTTTTCCTTTCTTTTTTTTGAGACAGAGTCTTGCTCTGTTGCCCAGGCTGGAGTGCAGTGGCATGATCTCAGCTCACTGCAACCTCCACCTCCAGGGTTCAAGCAATTCTCCTGCTTCAGCCTCCTGAGTAGCTGGTATTACAGGCACCTGCCACCACACCCAGCTAATTATTGTATTTTTAGTAGAGACAGGGTTTCACCATGTTGGCCAGGATGGTCTCAATCTCCTGACCTCATAATCTACCCGCTTCAGCCTCCCAAAGTGCTGGGATTACAGGCCTGAGCCACCGTGCCCAGACAGAAAGTATTTTATTCTATTCTATTTTATTTTGGCAGCAGAGTCTTGCTTTGCCACTGGAGTGCAGTGGCGTGATCCCTGCTCCCTGCAACCTCTGCTTTCCGGGTTCAAATGATTCTCCTGCCTCAGCCTCCAGAGTAGCTGGGACTACGGGTGTGCACTACCACACCAGCCTAATTTTCTGTATTTTTAGTAGAGACGGGATCTTACCTTATTGGCCAGGCTGGTCTCGAACTCCTGAGCTCAGGCAATCTGCCCACGTTGGCCTCCCAAAGTGCTGGGATTACAGGTGTGAATCATGTGCCCTGGCACAATGAAAAGTATTTTAAAAAGTGTTTGGCATATAAAAGGGACAATAAGCACATAGTATATTGTCAAGTGGACAGACTTGAGGAGGGGACAGTTGCGTTTGAGGGTTGGAGGGAGGCCAGTATGGCTGGAAGGAAATAATGAGATAAGGTTCGTCTGGAAGGGGATCCTGTTAAAATGTAGATTTGAATCTAGTAGGTCAGGGGGTGGCCCCAGAGTCAGTGTCTACCACAGTCAGGACTTCATCCTGAAGGTAAGAGGGGGCCTCTGATGGCCTGCAGAGCATGGGATGCTGAGGTGAAAAGCTCATCCCAGCCGTCCTGGGGAAACAGGTGGGAGGCAGAGGGCAGGGAACAGAGATGGGACAGGCTAAGCTGTGTTGATATCCTGAAGTCAAAGACCACCGGCCGTATCTGTGGCAGTGGTGTGCTAGACACAGCCTGTGCTGGCTCAAAGGAGGCAAACGTTGCATTTTGAGAGCTGGTTGTTGAAACTGTTGGTAGCATGAAATTGGCCATAGTGGGAGCACTGACACCATGACAACTGGCAAATGCAGCACGTGTGTGAGAGACAGTGTGCCAGAGAGCCTTGTGAAAATACACCATCCCACCACTGACTATAGTTAAACCAAGCTGAATGTATTATTGTAATGAGGGAGACTACACACACACACACACACACACACACACACACACACAGGTTGTCTCAGTAAGGGTGTTAGCAAGGCTTATTGCAAGAGCTGGGCTGTGTCAGGTGAGTTTGGGGAGGGGTCGTGTGAGTGGGGCTTTGCTCTGGGTGGGAAGTTGACAGATAGCACGGGCAAGCCCATGACTGGGAATCTTCATCTTATCAGGAGCCAGGAGGGGTAGATGGAGCTAATGCCGGTGTTAATGAAGAAGCAGCTCGGAGCTGGGAGCGGGGATTCTGGTCATTTTTGTGGTTTGGACAATGCTCATGTTTGTTGTGTTGAGACATGATTCAGGAGTGGTCTTGTTTTTGTCTCAGTCCATTGCAGTCGGAGTGGCCTTGCTTGATGTTGGTGTTATGGGAAATGTCTTATATTCGGCAGGAGAGCATCAGGGCCTGGCTGTTAGGGTCTGCTTCCCTTTCTTTCCACAGCTGTAACAAAGATACCTCAAAACACAACAGCATAAAGAAGACAGAAGTGGCCGGGCGCGGTGGCTCAAGCCTGTAATCCCAGCACTTTGGGAGGCCGAGGCGGGTGGATCACGAGGTCAAGAGATCGAGACCATCCTGGTCAACATGGTGAAACCCTG